TAAAAGCCAATCAAGTTCATGGAGCAAAAACAAGAACAAAGAAGGCTCAAACAGCAGCAATTAGCTCAGTAAGTCCTCAGTAACTTTAGTGACACTATTGTGAGAATATTTAATGACATTAAAGAAACAAGAGCATATGTAGTCAGCAAAGACAGCAGTAAAGAAAAATGATTGCTGAAATGAAATATTACAATATTACAAGCAGACATGTAGAGCTGGGTAGGTGATTTTAAAAACAGTCAATAGAAGTTCTGAACAGCAGGTGAACAGTAATTGAGCAAAAGATCAAGGAGCTCCAAAATGAGATAAATGGAACTGCTAGAAAGCAACAGAAGGTGGAAATGTTCTGAAAAGAAATGAAAAGCATTCCATAGAACTGCAGGTTGAACGCAAGTGGAAAAATATAAGGATCATCCATCCAAGTCCTTGAAGAACAGTAAGGCAAATTTCATGAAGAATATTTAAAGAAATCATTTACAGGAATTTACTAAGAGTTGAGGATTATAGGCATTGATATCCAAGAATATCAAAGGGTCTCAGTGAAAATTGAAACAACTAGGAAAACTCCAAGACTTATTGTTCTCAAAATGAAAAATACTCCAAATTGAGACAGAATATTGAAAGTGGCAAGATAAGTAAAGCAACTTACATATAAATGAGATCTTATATTCACCACAAATCTATCAAATGAGATTCTATGAGCCAGAAGGGAGTGGAGGAATATGGTACAAAACCTCAACAAAATGAACATTTCACCAAGAATATTCTATCTAGGTAGATTATCATTCAGATTTGAAGGAGGAATAGAAAGCTTCAGGGACAGAACACAGCTTAAGGAACTCATAGTCTTGAAACCCCAGTTTTATAAACATAAAATGAACTTTTTAAAGGACAGAAAAAACTTCTCAACATATGGCACTGTGTATGGCATTCACTCATGGTACTATAGTTGCTCTCTACTAGATTAAAGAAGTTATGTTTACTCCAAGGTTGCTAAACGATTGTATACATTTTCTTTTTCTTTTCTTATCTTTTTTTTTTCCTTTTTGTGTCACACCCAGCGAAGCACAGGGGCTACTCCTGGTTCATGCACTCAGGAATTACTCCTGGCCGTTCTCGGGGGACCATATGGGATGCTGGAAATTGAACCCGGGTCGGGGCACGTGCAAGGCAAACGCCCTACCCGCTGTGCTATCACTTCAGCCCCCAAGGAATGTATACATTTTCAACAATGAATTAACAACTCATTTATTTCAATATTCCCAGGCATATATTTTGAGGATTTTTTTATTACTGGTTTGATTTCTTTGCTAGTAATTGATCTGTTCAGGTGTTCTGTTTCCTTTTTATTCAACTTTGAAAGGCTTTAAGAGTCCAAAAATTATCCATTTCTTCTGGGTTCTACAGTTCTGTGGCATAAAGATTTTACGAGTAATACCTGTTGATTCTTTGTGTTTCTGTGGTATTTGTTATAATGTCTCCCCTTTAATTTCTGATTTGGTTTATTAGTTTCTCTTTCTTCCATTCTTCTTTCTTTCCTTCCTTTTATCTTTCTCTAATAATTTTTTGTCTAGCAAATGATTTTTCAATATTGCTTATTTAAAAAAACAAGTTCTTGGTTTAGTTGATCTTTGAATGATTTTTAGATTTCCATTTTATTTGTTTCCTCTCAAGATTTTTTATTTCCATTTTTGTGATTACTTTGGGTTCCCTGTGGGTAAGCTTGTTTGCAGTGTTCAGTGTAAGCAAAAGAGCAGTTGTGTTGCCATGTAACTGTCTGCATGGATCATGGTACAAGCAGCATTATGAGCAGTTATGGACTCTCTCAATGCTTCCAGAGACAGTGGCAACCAGAGGCACTGGGTCAGGGCTAGGAACGATTTCTGACCTAAAACAGGAGCCCAGAAGCAGGTGAAGTCATGGGTGAGTTCAGTTACCCACGAGGTGATGGCATCTGGACTGAATTTTCTTTTTTGATTCTTTTCCTTTACATGTATGATTAGATTTTTTAAAAATTTTTATTAGTGAAACACCATGAGGTACAGTTGTAGACTTAACAAATTTTTGTGCTTGGGTTTCATTTATACAATGATCCAGTACCCATCCCTCCACCAGTGCCCATTCTCCATCATTCACTTTTTTTAAATTTTTTGTTAGTGAAGCACCATGAAGTACAGTTGTAGATTTACAGATTTTTGTGCTTGGATTTCAATTATACAATGATCAAACACCCATCCCTCCACGAGTGCCCATTTTCCACCACCACGGGTCCCAGTATCCCTCCCACCCACCCATCCACCCGTCCCACCTTGCCTCAGAGGCAGGGTCATTTACTTTCCATTGATCACTTTGCATATAAGGAAATGTCCTGGTACCCACATGCCAGAGCCATGCTTGTCGAAGCTCATGGTTACCAGAATTCCATCTGGAGAAGGTGGGATGGCAGCACCTACCCCATCTGGGACCTCCTGGTGATATTGGCTCTGTTTGGGGCCTGGAGCATTCTCCAGGAGCTGTGGGGCCCTCCAGCCGGTTTTCTTCTTTGTTGCTGTGTGCTGTAAGATGGCGCTGGGGGGCCTACATGTATTATTAGATTTTTATCATATTTTCAGACATTATTGTAGAAAGTGAAGTGTGTACATCAAGTGAATTTTGAGTTTTAAAAAATTTTCAAATTTTGCAGTATAATTTGTTTTGGGCCTCCTAGGAAGCCCAGCAGATTTCTGAGCCATCAGAGGGCTACATCCATCAATGCTGGGCATGTGGTTTTGAGCACCAAATGTGGGGTCTCCTTGAGCATGCCTAGCATGTATTCTAGCCCTTTGAGCTATTTCTCCAGCCCACATTGCACAAGGTTGAATTTCTGGTAAGAAGTATGTGTTAGGGGCTGGTGTGATAGCACAGCATGTAGGGAAAATGCCTTGCATGCGGCTGACCTGGGTTCGATTCCCAGCATCCCATATGGTCGCATGAGCACAGCCAGGAGTAATTCCAGAGTGCAGAGCCAGGAATAACCCCTGAGCATCGTTGGGTGTGACCTAAGAAGAAAAAAAAAAAGAGAAGTATGTGTTAAACGCACGAGTGAACCTATCCCTGGACTGTGCAGCTGGGAACATCATAAGACACTCCCTACCCATTCTCCATTCACCACATCTGATGAGTTCAAATAGTAGACAACCAATCATAAAGGGAAATATATATATATTTAATATATATATACAAAATTTCACATCACTCAACCTTTAACAACATGTTTGAGATATCCTAAGAAGGTCTTAATGGCCCCTGCCAAAATAGAACAATCTTCACACTATTTCCTCTATGGATACTTTTTTGTAGTATTTTCAGTAGTTTTTCATAACAATACAAAATATATTACTTTGGTTGTGTTTTGGGACAGGGCTTGGGGTTTAGGATAAAAACATACCAAATATGGTGGTGGGAAGGTATAATGGTGGTAGGATTAGTTTTTGAATATTAAATGTAATAAAACATTGTGAACTAATTATAAAATAATTTTTAAAAGTGTGTTAAATTACATCATTACTGCTTACAAATCAACCTAGTATTTTACCTTATAATAACAAATGTTCAGAATGTGTCTGGTGAGGCTTGAGAAACCAAGAAAGTAACCTGGGAATATGAAATTAAGTTTGGAAATCTGACATTGAAATTCTAAATTATCCACCATGAAATCTTGCTTTTGATGTCTCAGCCTGCCTCTATGAGACTCATGCTAGAGTAATGAACACCAAGGTCTATATGGAAGCACTGTAGCAACATTAGTAAACTGAAACAAAGTTACTGTATGCTCACATCAGATATCAGAACTGATAGCAGACTAATAAAAAAGGTGTTTTTTTCTTAGTCTACCAGATGTTTTCAATTCTAAGGGCATACTGAATTATTCAATTAAAATGCAATTTTATTCAATTAAAATACAATTTTATCTAATTTCTTAGCACACTATATAAACGGTTCTCAATAATGTTATTCTGAACAAAGAAATGTCTGTGTGTAGAGGAGAAATTATATTCTGACTTAGAAACTAAATGGGTTATAAAATTATACATAAATAATAAATTGATTTGATGAAATCTTATGGACATTTCATTTCAGTTTAGTTCTCTCTTCGCGTATTTTTATATCTGAAAGAAATATCATATAATCAATTCATGGTTCACTTGAATGAAACTGTATTCAGGCAAAAGATTACTTTTGCTCAGACTACTTTTAGCAAAGTTTAACAGAATTTTCTTTAAGCTCATATTACACCAGTAGTAACTTGTGACTCTATCACATTTTTTAAAAAAAATTTTATTAGTCAATCACTGTAGGGTACAGTTACAGAGTTATAAACTTTCATGCTTTATTTCCAGTCACACAATGGTCGAGTACCCATCCCTCCACCAGTGCCCATTCTCCACCACCAGTGATCGCAGTATCCCTCTCATCACCCCTACCCCAAACCCCCGTATCCCACCTGCCTTTCGTTCTCTCTCTCTTTTTGGGTGTTGTGGTTTGGAATAGAGGTATTAGGTGGCCATCGTGTTCGGTCTATAGTCTACTTTCATCACGCATCTCCCATCCCGAGTAGGTTCTTCACATCTTTAAAGATTATTATTCTAATAAATTTGACTTAGCTTGAATGTGTCACTAAATATAAATAGATGCATATTTAATTCAGAGCACTTTTTAAAAATAGAGAAAGTTATAAAGAAGATGATTAACTTTTTTCATAATCCCAATAAATAATATCATGTTATAATATTTTAAGTACAATATAATAAATTATAAAATCTTAAATGTTGAAAACAAATTTAGTTATTATTCACTTTCATAAAAGTTATCTTTGGGGCATTGAATTTGGATTTCTGACATTTTCATTTGATTTTTAATGCTAACTATAACTATTCCTCATTAATCTGTACTTTTTGTAGCTAAATATTGATTTTCTTAGAATATAGGACAATTACACTAATTATGCCTTATTAATCTAGGTCAAGAAGGTCTATACAGAAACCCTCAATATACTAGCTGGGAAAGTCATCTGTGGAGAAAGAAAAAGTATGGCTTAGCAGATCACCTACATTACAGCTTTGTTCATCCTGAAAGTATTCCACGGAAATTTGATTTAAAACACAGTCGATTTCTCTCTAGTCAGTTTAATTCTCAGCCTGCAAAGTATAATCCACCAATAGAAGCACACCTGAAACTTGAAAAATTTAAGAGTGCCGTAAGTCTTGATGGACATTTTGAAATAACTATTCTAGGTAAGTTCTTTTTTAATATTATTGATTTAATGTATTTTAGGGCTGGAGCGATAGCACAGCGGTAGAGCGTTTGCCTTGTGCGCAGCCAGCCCGGCAAGCTACCAAGGTTATTATTAGACACAGGAAGTGTTTCTAATAGCTTCTTCATGTTCTGCATCAATTACTTGAGAATTTTAATTTTTTCAAGAGCTAAACAAATCTGTTTATAGGAGATTCTTCTAGTTAGTACCTCTTTCCCTTTAACCTAGATTTTATCTTTCAGTGGTTCAGAAAGTGAGCAAGAGGCAGATAACATGGCAAAAATGTGATGTGAAAAGAGAAAAGAATCAGTTTTTTGATGTCAGGGGTGAGGCATGCTCCCTCAGATTCCATTCTTCTTTGCCCAAGTACATTCCAAGGACTTATAATTAAAAGCCAATATATTAGAGCTCAATATATTCCAGAATCAGTGCTTCTATCCTCTGGTTTTAAACAATAGGAGTTCATGTAGGACTTGTTTTGGGAGTGGGGCCAATTTTTTAAAAGCAAGTTAATATCAACTGTAATTAAAATACATTCACTGTCACTGTCCTCCCATTGTTCATTGATTTGCTCGAGCGGGCCCAGTAACATCTCCATCGTGATACTTGTTACTGTGTTTGGCATATCGAATATGTCACGGGTAGCTTGCCAGGCTTTGCTGTGCGGGCAAGATACTCTCAGTAAAAAGTTGATTTTCTCAGGTTGTTCAAAACTGAGAAATAACTAAATAACTTAGAGAAATTTGAAAGCATCAACACGTTTTAAAATTTCTGTTTTCCTTGTTTGATTATAAATTAAATATATGTAATTTATAAATTATGAATTAAAATATATGTAAAATTAATTTTAAAATAATATCTTAATAAAAATTACTCTAGGAAATAAAATATTATTTGTATATTTTAGGTTTCTTCTTTTTGTTGCTGTGTATTGAACCTAGGGCCTCATACATGAAAGGCATGCACTGTGTGTCACTGAAATGTGATTTCTGATTTAATGTAGGTCTTATTACTGTAAAAGTTTAAGTGAGGAAAAACCATTTTAGCAAATTAGTGCTTGAAAGAAATCATTGTTCATATATTCAATTTTTTGACTTCTATAGTACTGGAATTAATTGCCTTGAACTTTATCAAAATTCCATTTGTTCCTTTTCTGTCTCTCATTTCCTCTTCCCTACTGCCTCAAACATAAATATGTATATGTTTTATTGTGTATATGTGCATAATGTATGTATATTGCAGATACATGTATAAATTTCTAGTGACTCTTAGACAAACATAGACCTAAATTTTAGACATTTCTTTTCACCAGACTGGTTTCTTTGGATAGCTTGTCAATAGTATTTTGGTAACAAAAATGATAGCGAATATTTCCCACATATCACAAATGTCACCATGAAAATAAGGAATTTATCTGAAAACATAGAATTTGGGTATTTATATTATTTTTAACAAGTTACTGATCCATTAAAGAACTCAGCTGTATTTTCAGTTATTGTAACTCTTAATAGTTTAGATTGTGCTTTACCTAAAAGCAAGAATAAAATGTGAAGAAGACAGGTTTATCATTTTTATCAACTAATTCTAATGCTGGTTCTATGTTAGAATTAAGCTGTTTTCCAGGACTTTAGATAGTATAAGGGATAAATGGCAGTGGAAAATAAATCATGCATAAATAATATAACAAATAAAAAGAAACAGGAAACGTAGATATTATTAGGTACTTGAAAATAACCATATTGCTACCACTTGATAGTTATTTCTGAACTTTTAACAGAAAGGAAAAAAGGGGAGTTTTCTTGGTAAGATTTAGTGTTAAAAGAAGTCTCAGTATCTCAGAGCCCTACTGCCTAAGCAGAACTGGGATGCTCAGTACGCCCGGATCCTGTATACCTTTAACAATGTTAAGATATACCTACGAAATTCTATAATGTTGCAAAATAATGTTAATTAAATGTTAATAAAGAAGAAATGTCTTGGACTGGAGAAATAGTTCAATGGTCTGACACATACTTTGTATGTTGAAGGCCTGAGTTTGATAACTAGCATCACCAGGAGTGGTACCCAAACACAGAACAGGAGTAGCCACTGAGCAAAAAAATAAATCTAAAAGAAAATACATCACGTTTTGCATATAAAACAAAAACTTACATATGGAACCATGTCATTTTTGTCCCCTAACAAAACCCAAGTCTGAACTTCCTATAGGAAGCTATTGTAGAAATAACATAGACTAACAAGTGGCTTGATATCTTCAATTAGTTTTCTGTGAGAAATACGAAAATGCTTTTCAGATAGTTCATTCTTACATCAACATTATATATAGTTAGCATAATCATTTGTCAAATATTTGTCAAATTAGATTTTGAATTTGTCAAATTCTCTTTGTAAAAAAGAATATTTTCATCTAAATTGTTTTTATTTAATCTAAGAACTTAGTTCTCTAATGGTTTGATTTAACAAAGAAATAAAATCTAGGGTCTGGAGTGATAGCACAGGGGGTAAGGTGTCTGCCTTGCATGCTGCCGACCCAGGTTCGATTCCCAGCATCCCAAATTGTCCCCTGAGCACCGCCAGGAGTGATTCCTGGGCATCACATGAGTAAACCCCGTGCATCGCCGGGTGTGACCCAAAAAGAAAAAAAATCTACAGCACTAAAATAATGGTACTGGACCCAGTTTTATGTGTAGGTGATTTTGAAAACACCTACTCACACTCCTTGGAATTACAATACATTCTAGAGAAATAGCCCATTTATTTTCTATGTCCTCCTTCATGGATACTTATTACCACTGAGAATCACTAACAAGAATGTATCCTGTGTGCCATGATATAGGAGTAAGATAGCACTGTAGCACTGTAGCACTGTCCTCCCATTGTTCATTGATTTGCTCAAGCGGGCACCAGTAACGTCTCCATTGTGAGACTTGTTGTTATTGTTTTTGGCATATCTAATACACCACGGGGAGCTTGCCAGGCTCTGCCATGCGGGTGGGATACTCTCGGTAACTTGCCGGGCTCTCCGAGAGGGATGGAAGAATCGAACCCGTGTCAGCTGTGTGCAAGGCAAACACCCTACCCGCTGTGCTCCAGCCAAGGACTGAGAATTACTACTCCGTTAATAGTACTTGGGGTATAGGAATTCTTTGTTTTTGTTATAATAAGAGATGAATACCAGTTGTAAAATGGTGACTATTATCATATCTTTGTGAAAGCACAAACCCAAATTGTGTTAAAATATTAGACAAAGGGCCTATGTATTTTTAACATGCTATGAGCACTCAACTCAGAAGAGAGAATTACATTTCTTATTAATTTACTACTGATTAAAAGATAAAATTCAAAGCATAAAAGTAATTCTGGTGCATCAAGAACAAATGAGCACCTATGTTCTATAAAGGAAAAGGCAATGAATGATTAGCATGTTTACAGTTTCTGTCCCAAGTACTCAGTTCTTCTATTTCAGTATAAAAGCGTTCATAGATACAATGTAAGTAAATGCACTACCCTGTAAAGCTTTATTTATGGGCACTGAAGCTTAAATTGTAAATAATTTTCGCACATTGCAAAACATTATTGTCATTTTTCAATCATTTAAAAATGTAAAAGGGTTGGAGAAATAGTACAGCAGGTAGCGTGTTTGCCTTACACGTGCTGACCTGGATCAAATTCATCCTCAGCACCATTATAGCTCCCTAAACCCCACCAGGAGTGATCTCTGAATGCACAGCCAGTAGCAATACCTGAATAGGACCAGGTTTGGTCCCCAAACAAAACAAAATAAAATAAAAATAAATTTCAAAAGCTCTTCTTAGCTCATCAATTCTATAAAGCTAAGCATAAGATGGATTTGACTCCCCAAGTCAGTTTTCTGACCTCTGTTCTAAACTTCAGAAAATTATCTATTAGCATGTTTGTGGTCTTTGAATTTTGTAGCATTGTGAGTAGTTATGGGGTGTCTATACTTTTTATAATTATTAACTGCTATCTTCAGTAAGTTCTGGATATCATAACAACTGCTCTACTTTATTAATCACAAGCCTTAAGTAATTCTTAAAAAAATAAGTAGCCCTTAGTTGCATGCTAAAATAAAGCTATGGAAAGGAGATAGTACAGCAGGTAAGGCATTTACCTTGCATGTGACCAACCTGGGTTCTGTCAGCACTGCATGTGGCCCCCTGCACGCTACAGGCATTTCTCTGAGCACATAGCCAGGAGTAAGCACTGAGCACAGCCCAAATCGAAAATAAATAAAATTAGGCTATAGAATTTAGTGACAATTTTCCATTAAAGGAATTGGGGTACTAGAGAGATGGAACAGAGGTTAAGGCGCTTGCCTTACAGGAGCCAGGAGTAAACCCTGAGCACCACAAGGCGTCAGTCAAGTCCTCTTCCTCTCCCAAAACACCAGTGGATTTCAGGAGACAGGGGGATATAGCTTAGTGTGGAACAAAGGTAGGAAAAATAGTATCTGGATCAGTTTACATCTTAATAGAAAGGTTTTTGTTCACCCACCATTGGTATATACTTAGGAATTAATGTCAATATCATAAGGTATTAGAGCAGTGTTGTGGTCATAGAAGCAATAGGAATCACTAAAAATCATGGAAGAATGAAAGGGAGAATTTAAGGATAACTCAAAGATTTCTGACTGGTAAAATGGTAGGAATTTAGAGAGTTTTAGAGATGATATTGTTGCCATTTTATCCAGGGGACATACCCAGAAGTGTTGAAGTCACCAGTAATGTTTTGTTTATGTTGCTGAAGTTGAGCTTGGATTACAAGAATATGTATGGGTACAGTCCTAGAGTTTAAAGCCTATGCTCTGTGTTTCCCTTGCAATAGACAAAATGGACTCCTTATCCTGGCCTATACTTTTGCAATTACCTGCCATTCTTGAAAAAATTCTCTCCTTTATTAACCGAAACTTGTCTATCATATTTGAGAACTTAAGGGCCTACTTATGCCCTTGCTTGAGTCATACATCCTTTATAGAAGGGTATGGAATCATAGACCGTTATGTTTAGGGAACCATGCAGTGCTGGGGATTGAACCAGGCTCACACATGCAAACTCAGCCCTTGAGAACCAATAGTCATCCCTGAATTCTCCTACCTTATAATGTAAACTGTGATGAATGAGGAAGAAATAATTCAAGATACTCCTTTTTATGTAAACAAGCTCCAAACTGTCCTCCAGATACTAAAAATTTCTTTTTCATATATTTATTTATTGAATCACTGTGGAAAAAGTTACAAATCTTTCAGATTTAAGTCTCAGTCATACAATGATCAAACACCTTTCCCTTCACCAGTACTTATTTTTCAACTGTGCATCAGTAGAGACGATATTTTGGATCATGTTGAAGAGTTATCAAAGGTTGTAATGAAGTGTTTCATCTTTCAACCAATAGCATGTATTCACTCATGTTTGCACACTTAAGGGTTTAATTACACCTTTGAATAGTTTTTTATAGGTGCAAAGCTGTTTTCCACTTACTAGTTTAGGATCAAACCAATAAAGTTGGCCTCATTAATACTATGTACTAACGCACTGAGCTTTTATTCCCTTACCTTACACTTTACTTTGTTGTTCTTGATGCAGTTGCCATGACGGTGGGTCACACACACATGCCTGGCTGTGGTTCCCGAACAATTTCAGCTGTGGTGCGCCCCAAGAGTCACATATCAGGTTACACTGCTTGCACACTTGACCCAGTGCTTACTGAGGTTTATCACTCCTTCCGTTGTGGTTCTTGCATACATGCTCACTAAAGGTCAAACTTTTCGTTAAAACACACAAGTTACTATTAGGTTGCGCACAAGGTATCGTGACAGTGTGTTCACACATGTACTCACCATAGTCTGGTTGTGATTCTCCAACATATTTTTAGTTGTGGTGCTCACTTGGGGGTGGCACCCCTTTTTGCAGTGCTTTCACACACGTAGCTGCAGTGAAGCTGGAAATTGCTTTCAGTGCTAGGGATCACAGACAACAGATGCCAGGCTTAAATAGCTGAGCTATTTAAACCAGGATCTTGTTTGCACTTGTGGGATGCCAGGGATTACAAACTCATTACTGTATGCTTTTAAGGCAGGTGCTATAAATCATTGTGCTATTCCTCTGGGTCAAATTCACTGAACTTTTAATAAAGTGAAGTTTTTCTGTAACAGGTCTGAACCATGAGATAGCAATTGATGTTGCATTTCTACCCATGTATTCTCAAGAAGATATCCGAACATCTCAAGTGAGCACACTTTTAAACAGCATGAATTATAATTGTGTGCATCCACCAGTAACTGACAATAAAAATGTGCCATATGCAAAAAAAATTGCAGGTAGGACAATCTTTGTATTACTTTCATGCATAAAATAAAATTAATATTTTAAAGAGTTCTAACTTTCAGATATAATGAGTAAATACTCCTACTGTTAACATTTCATATAGTTCAAAAGGTTATTTGCTAAATGAAGCTGAAGATTTATTAATGAGAATATATTTTTAATAAAATTGAAAAGATTAATGGCTTCTATTTCAGGCAGGCATTAAAAACGCTTCCTTATAATACAACTCTAAGTGTGAAATATTAATTTGACCTAAGTGATATGAAAATAGAATAGTAAAATTTATTCTCTCTCCTGTTATCTCAATAGACAATTTTTCCTTTCACCTTATAACTACCCCAAATTTTATTGTCTTCATAGTAGATCACAGTGCTATTGTTTTAACTTACAAATGTTATTGCATAGTTATTCAAGTGCTGTGCAATAAATTCCTTGTAGACAGCTCAGATTATCCATAGTCCCAATAGTGAAACCTTTCAGCCAAGTAATATTTAGGTTATCAAATGTTAACTTATTTCTATATACCTATAAAATTAAGTATCCACAAGTCATCTTATTCATTTTACATTGTCAGCTCTATTTACTAAATATATGAAAATGTTTCTAGAAGTTTTTGTTTAGTTTATAAGGACATTGCCTTAAAGATAGCTTTGGGAACACTAGGACTTTGTGGAGGGAAAATATTCCTGCCACAGAGGCAGCCTAGGGGTGGGGGGTGTTGGAGAGGGAAACTGCTGGAGGGTAATGGATAATACTGAAGTGACTGTTGTTGGAACATTGCCTGAAAAATCACAAATATATCTGTAACTCTGTAATTCACAGTGATTGAATTTTTTAGAAAGCCTTTATTACCTTGGGATTTTGTGGTAGGTCTTTCTAAGCTGATGAAACTCTTGAGTATATGTTGTTTTCAAGTTTTAAGAGCTGTGCCTGATGATGAAGTAACTTAGTAAATATTAGTACAAACTAAACTTGAATATGTAGTTTTACAAGAGATGAGTGCCTTTTGTTTGCTCTGCCAACAATTTTAGATATTATTTTCAGTTGACCTGCAGTATTACTTCCTATATTGTTGTTCTTTAAAGTTCCAGAAACCCCAAAATTCTTAATTAGTATGCTAACAGGTAATTTAAATATTTGTACACTTATTCTTGCTTCATATAGTATAAACTTCTGTGTCACATTTCTTTTGCTAAATATGCTGGCTATTATTTATGTAAAATCAAAGGTGAGGAGCCAGAGAGATAGCTCAGTGGGCTGAGTCCATGCTTTGCATTCAGTAGGTCTAGGTCAGAACCCTAAGCTTCTCCAGAAGCAGTTCCCATGCACAGATCCAGGAATAGCTCCTGAGTAACACCAGGAGTTGCCCCCAAACCAAAAAAAAAATCTAAATATAATTCCAGATGCCTACTAGTCATTGGTACCAGTATTCTTCCAGAAGTCACTAACAATGTGAAATGAAAATAGCTTATCATTCTTTAGCAGTTAATATTTGGGGCTTGAACAAGAGTCACTGGAGAATAAAATAACATTATAAGTAAAAGAAATATGATTCAAATGGAATACCATGTTTCCATGATATACCATTATTAATAATAGCAATATCCATTTACTTCTGTGCCTAGAACAAAGCTTACATATTTCATATAAATCACAGCTAATGGGAGTTTAAAAATATAAACTTTATCTCTGTTGATAAATAGACTGAAAAAATTAGAAAAAAAATCACTAGCATGGGTAGTAGTAGGATTTGAACCCAAATCATTTCATGCAAATTATATGAATACCTATAATATAATTATTCAAACAGTTCAGGAAAGTATAAGGCAAAAATTTGAGATCCTCTTCCTGACCCTGCTTTTGAATACCTTACCACTCTGACATCCTATTCAACCACTCTCTAGAGATAACCAAAATGTTTTCAATCTTTAAGAAACTTTTTTTTTACATATAACAGTATATATTCTCTACTACTTCCCTTCCACACACATACACACTCTTTAAAAAACACCAAATGGAATTATGGTAAATATCAATATGAAACCCCATAATCAGCTTTTGAAAAACTTTTGTTAATATAACTTGGATAGCATTCATATTATTATAGAGAGAACTACCTCATTTCTTCTAACAACTACAAACATTCCATTGTGTGGATATAACAAAGTTTGCTTAATTATTTCCTTATTTATGAATGTTTAGTTTGTTTCCAAGTGATTTTTATTATCAAATTGTAATTGTAGTTACTATCTATGTGGTATACATGTGTGTTTATAAGGTGAATTCCTAAAAGAGAAATCACTGACTTACAGGTGTGTGTATTTTAAATGTCGATATATATCTATCACACTGTCCTCCAGAAAGATTATTATCAATTTGTATTATAGTCAAAATCAAGGTTTCCACTTTATTACACCCTTAGACATAGGTGTTATTGGTCTTGTTATTCTTTGGCAGACTGATAGAGAAAAAAAAGTACTCTCATTACTTTTATTGGTAGGTTTGAAAATCTCGATGTGTGTGAACCATTAATATAATTTCCTTCTAAAAGCGATCTAGAACTTTCTCTGCTGGTTTCATTTTTCCATTTTTTTCTGAATTTGTAAACTCTCTTTACATATTAAATAAACTAATACCTTGGGTGTTAGAGATGTGGCTCTAGTAGAGCACCTGCTTTGCATGTGTGAGCCTCTGTTTGATTCCTGGCAACACATGGTCCACAGCACTGCAAGATGTGTCACTGGTGGCCTGTGACTATGGCCCTATTATCCCCACCAGGTATGTTTCCCACAACAACAAAAATAATAACAAAAAATTAGCTTGATAGCATATGTTGTAAACACCTTTACCATGTTTGTTATTTATTTAGAGGGAGGCTGGTTCTGATAACTGAAGCAATTTTATTTTTTGTACTAAATACATCAATGTTTTATAATTGTAGCTCCTTATTTTATGTCATACTCAGTTCAATATTCTTAGGTAATTTTTATGGTAATTTTATAACTTCATTTTTTACAAATAACTGATTTTATTGCGGTTAAATATATGTACAATTGATCACTTTAACCACTTTAATTGTACAATTTAGTGACATCAAGTAAACTCACAATGTTGTACAATTATCACTATTACCCATTTTCAGAATTCTGATTATGCCAAACAGAAACTTTGTACCTGTTAAACGATACCACCTATTCCCACCTTTTCTCTAACCCTTGACAATCTCACCTATATTCTACTTTATATCTATCAGTCTCTCTATCCTAGAATTCCTCATATAAGTGTAATAATAAAATATTTTACCTGTATCTAAATTATTTAATATAATATTTTCAAAATTCATCTATATTATAACATGCATGAGAATTTAATTCATTTTAGCAGAATAATATTTCATTCTATGTGCATTTTGTTTTTCCATTCACCTTTGGCTTATTTCCACCTCTTGGCTATTGTGAATAATTCTCTGTGAATGTTGGCATAAAATTATCTGAATCCTAGCTTTTATTCCTTTGGGAATATACCTCAGAGTGGAATAGATGAGTCATGTGGTGGCAATTCTATATTTAACTTTTGGAGGAACTACCTAACCATTTTTCACAGCAGCTGCTCTCTTTTACATTCCCATAAGCAATGCATGAGGATTCCAGTTTTTATAAATTCTCACTAGGACTTGCTATGTTCTGTTAAGATTTTTTTGATAGCAACTAGTCTAGTAGCATCTTGTGATTTTCATTTTCATTTGCATAATTATGAATGATCTGAGCATATTTTTCATGTGCTCATTAACCATTTGTATATAATCCTTGGAAAATTTGAGTTGTCTTTTTTCCATTTTTAATTATGTTATTTGAGTTTTTTGTTGCTAATGTGGCTTAATTCTTATAACTTAAAATGTTAATCCATTTGAAATTTATTTGGTATAGAGCAGAAAATTCCAAACTTTTTTGGCCTGCTGCCTCCCTTAAAAACTTATTCAGCATTGCTACAGAAATCTACTTTTTTAAACAGAGAAACAGGGGCCAGAGTACAGCAAATAGGATGTTTATCCCCATCTCCAGCATCCCATATGGTGTCCAGATCCCCGAGCCTTCCAGGAGTGAGTGATTCCTGAGTTTAGAACCAGGAGTAACTCCTGATTACCATACTCTGTGGTCCCCAAACAAAAAGTAAATAAATAATAAACTGTCACTGTCCTCCCATTGTTCATCGATTTGCTCGAGCAGTCCCAGTAACGTCTCCATTGTGACAATTGTTACTGTGTTTGGCATATCAAATACATCATGGGTAGCTTGCCGGCAAACTTCAGTAGCTTGCCGGGCTCTCCGAGAGGGGCGGAGGAATCGAACTCAGGTTGGCCATGTTGGCCGCTTGCAAGGCAAATGCCCTACCCTACCCGCTGTGCTGTCGCTCCAGTCCAAATAAGTAAAATAAAAATATAAACAAACAATACCTCTGGAAGGGGGGAGGACTGTTTTGACTACTTTGAGAAACATTGTTATAGAAAGTGATATAGGGATCCAGCTTTATTCTTTTTCCAAGTTAATAAGTCATATATATTAAATAATATGCTGGACTAATTTTTCTGGTTTAATGTGCTAATCAGGATTAAATTACAAGCTGTTAGATATGTACATATCATATAGCCCTCATATATATGTAAATATGCCTTTCATCTTTTTTAAAACATTGAGTAAATTTATCCACTGATAGACATCTCAGAAGCATAACATAATATGAAGGGGAGTTAACATATGTAAGCTATTGATTGTGATATTGTTTCCCATATTTTTTCAGGGACAGGAATATCACTGATACAAGAGTAGTTAGATCGTGCTGCAGTTACAAAGTAATTTCCAATGTCAAAGTGACTTAGCACAGCAAATGTGGATTTCTTGTTCAATTCAAGTCAGTTGCAATGAGCATTTAGCTCTCTTCCCAAGCTGTAAATAAGGAAGCAGGCTGACCTGCTTCTACTATGATGAGGGCCCAACAGGAACACACAGTTTCTACTCTGAAAAGATGAAAGATGGAAAATGAGAGATATAAGGGAGACACTAGCTTTTAATCATGTTGGACTAGGAGCGAGAGATATCACTTCTGCTGGCCTTCTTCATATATGTCAGAACTCACTCATATGGATATTTTCCAATGTGACATGAAGAGTATGAAACAATGTTTTTTAACAATGCTGTATTGCCAGATATGTTTTAAACACTAACCTTATGAATTTGTTTTCCTAGGATTTTTGTCTTATTTGCTTAGAATTTTGTTAGTTTTTCAGTGCCAGGTATCAAACACAGGTCTCAGGCGTGTCATAACACAGAATCACATCCCCGGCATTCACCATATGCATTTATGATGTTTCTAAAATGTATATATTTTTGTCATTATACAAATTTAAAATTAGAGGTTCAAAAGTTTATTTTATAGGTAAAATCTGTAGTCCGTTTAACAGGGATATAATCCCTTTAATTATCTTTTTAATGGGGATAATTCTGTGATATACATAATATCCTAATTTCTCCTAAGTAGAAAAATAACATTACTGATATTTGAGTTATTGTTATGTATTAACTACCATTATTAATGTTTGACATTAATTTAATCGTCACAATATTCTACAATGTAGCTACTAGATGAGCAGATTATGGCACATAAAGTATTGCCATTTGCTCAATCTACTGCACAACTAGTCATAGTTGCCTAAACTGAGACATATTTTTGTTGTAGATACTTTAAGAAAAAGATAATTATTTGTAATTGTCTATATGATTAGAATTATTATTAAATTTTGAATTACTGCCATTTGTATCAGACTGAAGCATCTGGATTAAAGCCCTTCCCACTCTTAGGAGAAAATTAAATATTACTAGCAGTATTTATTATATTCATTATGCAAACTTGGGCTGGAGCGATAGCACAGCGGTAGGGTGTTTGCCTTGCACGCAGCCAACATGGCCGACCCAAGTTCGATTCCTCCGCCCCTCTCGGAGAGCCCGGCAAGCTACCGAGAGTATCTTGCCCGCACGGCAGAGCCTGGCAAGCTCCCCGTGACGTATTCAATATGCCAGACACAGCAACAACAAGTCTCACGATGGAGATGTTACTGGGCCCGCTCGAGCAAATTGATGAACAACGGGAGGACCGTGACTGTGATTATGCAAACTTGCACAACTTTAAATAATTCATTTGACTTTGTGATGTGTTTAATGGAAATGGATTTGCAGCAATGCTAAGGAATTGAGACCTAAAGAGCCCTTCCCTGTATAGGTCCTTCCCAAGTCCCTTTTGATATTTAGTAGTTTTTCATAGAAGATCCTCTCAGACAGTATTCTCTTAAGAACTTAAAAACCCATATCCACTATTGACTCTTAGCACAATTTTGTGGAAGTAATGTTCTTGCATAAAAGGTTAAAAGCATGTGCCTTTAAGCTAGACTTCTGGATTGGAATCACTTTGCTTAAGTTACTTACACCCTTAAGTATTTTAGTTTTCTCATATTAAAATAAACTATTTGTAGTGTTTAGCCACTAAAGTAGGTCCATTCCCCTTAGCAGTGGTCATTTTATGTTTTGAGGGAGTTTCCTTAAACACCTGAGCCAAGTAGAGAAAAAGAAAAATATCATCTGCCAGTTTTTGCAGAGGGGATCTATCTTGCAACACCCTTCAACATTTAGCCAGACTGTTTACAATTTTTTGTTTTTACTTCCTGCTCTGAGAAACCTGAAGACCAACCATAGTCGAATAGTGAAGTTTTTCACAGATTTTTAAAAATTATATATATATATTTATTTATATATATATATATATATATATAATTTTGGGTTTTGAGGCCACACACGGATATTATCAGGGCTTTCTCCTGCCTCTATGCTAGACATCACACTTGGCAAGCTCTGAGACCATATGGAGTTCCCCTGGGATTGAACCCAGATTCCATGCCTTAAGCAAGCACCCTACCCACTGTATTATCTCTTTAGTATTACTCACGCATTTTCTGAGCATGATTCCAGCCCTGGATATTGATCCTTGCGATTATGGATATACAAAGGAGCCCTTAGATAACTTACTTCCTTCACATTTTCCAATCTCTTCCGCCCTGAGCATTTTTGATCTGTCCTTTGCTTGCCCCAATTTAATACCTCTCCCCAGTTGCTCTGACCAATGCTTTTGTCTTTATTTGCTTTCTACCAAAGCGCCTGGGAAATCCACCCCACTCGTGGGAATGCTCCAAATAGGGAGAAACAAAAAATATCCATGTTTTTGTCCTTGGTGGAACTACCCAAAAGGTCAAAACGCAGTCATAGCTTTGGGAATAAAATTCACAGGCTCTCTCTGCTTCTAGCAATCTCTACCTTAAATAAAAACTGCCATATTCATGGTTGCCTAGGTAACTTTTGGAGAGTGAAGGGTGGTGGAAAGATAAATTAAAATACCACAGAAACATCTTTGTGGATCTTTTCCCTAATTGTTTAACGTTTTTGTATAGATTCCAGAGTTTGTAAAAGAGTATGTAAGAGTTTTTGCCAGGATATAAATTTCATAAGTGCAAAGACAGAGCCCGGGAATTCCCGCCTGCAACACTTTTGGCAATGGTACTAACTAATCCTTTATAAAGTTTCTTGATAGTAATCAAAACTTAGTTTGTTTCTAAAGTAACTTCAATGGAAATATCCTTTGAAAGAAAGCTAAAATACATTGTAAATTTTTATTTATGCCTTATAAAATGTACAAGTAATTAATGTTTCAAAATAGAACATTTTATCTTTGCATGTCCTTTAAATGTAATGGTAAGTTGTTTAACTGACATCATATATATGACCTTAAAATATTTATATTTACTTCGTTTCACTAAAAAAATTTAAAACATTAAAAATAACTGTTGGTTTAAAGCACCTACTCATATATTGATATCATTGACATCTGTTTAATATATTCACTTTTGTCTTCAGAACTAACTATAACATAACAATAATGAATGTGTATAGGAATTGGTGGGAAGGGGGAGAAGATGAAGGATAGTATAAGTGTTAGAAGAAAAATAATAAGCCTATGTGATCCAAGTAAATATTTAACTGTTTATAGTACCATCTTTTTCTTTTACTTTTAGGTGATGTTATAAAAGCAGTAGCTCAACTGGATGGAGTGCATATCATCGCTGTATTGGATGTCTGTAATTTGGGAGATAATAAGTTAGAAGTTATTCTGCATAGAATTTTTAGACCAGATAAGCCTTTTAAAGTTGCCAAATGAAAGTATTTCATGTCTTAAAAATAGCACTGCCTTAAAATATTCTGTCATTTTGTTGGTAATTTCTAAAACTGTGTCAAGATAATTTATCTTATTTTTTATGACTGTTATCTTGATTTGTAAAAATTTGTAATCACTTCTATTTGCGAAGTGTACTTTAATTGTAGAGCCTTAGTATGAAATATTCTGATTTATTAGAGTAAATTCACATAGATTGAACATCCTTCCACTTTTATTCACATATAATGAGAAATTTTTAACTGTCAAATTGAAGGTTCAATTTTTTAAAATTGGTCAGCTACATTCAATGCACACATAAAGTATTATGATCGAATTGCCCTGATTTTTCCTTTGGCCAACTGCACAATGAGTGCACTCAGTTAAACAGTATTAAGGTTTTTACTTAGTATTGTGATTCCATGTCATTTTGATTTTTAAGTATATTGACCCATGTGTGATCACAAAACCAGAGGCTAACAAAATTTTGTGTTCTTGATTTATTTATAATTGGTACATGTCATTTGAGTCTAAAGAATGAAACGTTACCTAACATTATCATGCAAGTGCTCATATTGAAAATATAGAATATGCAAACAACTATTTTCATCCTCATTGTCTTTTGGATTTGTGTTTTAACAGTAAATGCCATTACATATTTGTAAAGAACCTATATTGATGGTTAGTACTTGTACAAAAATTACCATCACATGAACTCCAAATTATTCTGTATTAAGATATCTCTAATTGTGCATAGCTATTTGTGGGGTTTCCTTCTATGGTGATCCCTATAGTTCTGTAACTTCTTATGATTTACATTTTAATGTGTTGTGCAGCTCATGAACCTAAAGATAGATGCTATGGTTAGTTCATAAATAGTGCTTAGTATTTTTTCTTTATAATTGTACTAATTAAAATGAGCAGCCACATTAAAATTTAAATTAAAAAATCTAATAAAATAGCTAATGGTCTCCTGTCTCAGTTTGTTGTTCAGATTTCTGGGGACATTCTTAAAGGCACTTGGGGTATCACATTGTGCCAGGGATTGAATTTAAGGTTCCCATATGGAAAGTATGTGCTCCAGTCCTGTCTGCAATCTTCCCGACCCCTCCAGTCTCACTTTTAATGTATTTGATGTTTTCCTCCATATTATTAGCCTGTGGTACACATATATGTACTTGCTAAATGAGTTTTGTTATCTAATCAATCTCAACTCTAGAATTGCATTAACAGTTGTGGCTTTTGTCTACATTAAAATAAATATTTTTTAAGAAAGTAAACTATCATCAATTATAGAAACTCATTTTTTTTAAATTTTGGTGCCATATTCAGGACAGCTCAGGGGTTTCTCCTGGATTTGCACTCAGGAATTACTCCTGGTAGTGCTTGGGGCGGGGAGGACCATATGAGATGCCAGGGATCAAACCTAAGTCGGCTTTGTGCAAGACAAATACCCGCTGTATTATGGACCCTAGAAACTCATTTTTAAAAAATCTTGGACATTTTTTAAATTCCCAATCACTTTTACTGCTAGGGTTCTTGCTAATGTGTTGCATCTTTGATGATAAGATAGAAAGGTTTTTAATTTGTGTCATCAGAATATAGGAATTCATTGAGTTTATGGTCAGCATCTAGCATGATTTGATTCAGTTTTTTGTTTTTGTTTTGTTTTGTTTTGTTTTGTTTTGCTTTGCTTTTTGGATCATACCCAGTGATGCACAGGGGTTACTCCTGGCTCTATACTTAGGAATTACTACTGGTGGTGCTCGGGGGAACATATAGAATGCTGGGAACCAAACCCGGGTTGGCCGAGTGCAAGGCAAATGCCCTACCCGCTGTGCTATCACTCCAGCCCCGATTCAGATTTTAAGATTTTTCACTGTCTGCTGGAAGGAAAATGGACTGCAAGGAGGTTGGAAGAAATTTTAGTGGCATTCCCAACATCTGTTCTTCCATATTAATAGATAGACCTGTCAATTATTAGGAGAACTGGGCTCATGGCTACTTAGCCTAACTTTCTCCTGATTCCTTTTAAGGTGGCATTCTGTAAATAAGTTATTCACTAGGATGTGAGCTTAAGTCATATGTATAATGTCTGAACCAAAAAATTTAAGAGTGAAAGCTGTTATTCCCTTTCCCTTCCTGTTACATAGCATGGTAGTAAGTTGTAGCAGAGTGATGTAGCACAGCAGTGAGCTTCCTGCTGGTTGTAGCCTGTGAGCACAGTGATGAGACATCTAGCATCATGTAGAGAAAAGGCAACACCAGAAGAATGTCAATGCAACTTGCTAATAGAAACCTAAGCCTGTCCCTAACATTGTGGAGTTTCCATACCAGACATGTACTGCTTGTCTCTCCAGTTGCCTCATGAGAGAAAATTAAACATGTGTGCCATCATTATTTTTGTGTCCAACCAGCAGTCAAATTTGTAGTCTAATCTTAATTCAAGAGGCAAAATGAAAGAAAGAGGACCAGATAGGTGACAAATGAAATTGGAATTAGTGAGTATAATTCATAAAAATTTTAGAGATGGGTTTGGGATTATAGGGGTTAAGGAACATGCCTCACAACACTGCAGACCCAGATTTAATCCCTGGCTCAATCCCCCCAGAAACTCTTTTGGAGATAACATTAAAATACAGCATCTGAGGGAGTATGATGCCGCCAGCAGGTCAATTTGTACCAGTGAGGTGAGTGCATCAGCAGCCTGATGGCACCGTCAGGCTTTCAGATACCCCAAAATTGCTGCTGTGCCTTTGGCCAGACCCCAAAAACTTGGGGCAAAGTTTACCAAGAAAGTAAATGGCCAAAAGTTAGGTATGTGGGAAACACACCCACAAACCAACTCCGGCTTAGCTATATAATTAGAGGCATGGCCTCTCTGGTTCCTGATCGAACTGCTGAATGGCCATGATCCCAGAGACTCAGAAACGAATCTCAGAACCCAAAGGCTTTTGACAGAAATGCACCCTGTTCCTGCAGTAGGTTACTGGCACTGGGACACTCCAGGTGGGAATAGGTTTTGTGCCTTGGCCTGTTCCCCTTGGCAGCCCGGTGATCACCATCCTCCAGAGGCCACTGGACAGTCAGATTTGGGCCTGCAATGACGTGGGGCCTCACCAGATGGGGGTAGAACCAGCCCTTTCCTCCCCATCCCAGTGAGACCCCGAGTTGCCTCCTACAAATGGCCTCTCTAGCTCCTGATCAAGCTAATTAATGGCCATGATCCCAGAGACTCAGAAACAAATCTCAAAATCCAGTGGCTTTTGGCAGAAATGCATCTGGACCACATACAAGATGGCCACCACCTCAGAGCTTCTTGGAAAGCCAAGTAAGAGCAGGCGGTGATGGGGCAACTGCAGTCTTATGGGAAGGGGGGTGGTACCGGCTCATCTTTCACGCCCTACCCAGGTCATGAGTTGCCCCCCACGAGCAGCTCTCTGGCACGGCCATGGCTCCAGAGGCAAAAGGACTTAATCCAGAGCCCGGCAGCTTGCAGCAGAAAAGTGAATGGACCATGCATTAAACTATGGCACCATGACTCCCCGGGAGGGAAAGGGTGTTGTTCCCTTCCACCTTTTTCCCGCCCGGCAGCAAGGTGGCCGCCGCCTCAGAGCTTATTGGAAAACCAGGTATGAGCTGGCGGTGTTGAGGCAACTGCAGTCTCATGGGAAAGGGGACGGTACCAGCTCGCCCTTCACACCCTACCGAGGTCACGAGTTGCCCCCCACGAGTGGCTCTCCAGCACGACCATGGCTCCAGAGGCAAAAGGACTTAGTCCAGAGCCCTCAACTTGCGGCAGAAAAGTGAATGGACCATGCGTTAAACTACAGTGCCATGCCTCTCCGGGAGGGAAAGGGTGTTGCTCCCTTCCGCCTTCCCCTCCTCCAGTAGCAATGTGGCCGCTGCCTCAGAGCTTATAAGAAAGCCAGGTATGAGCTGGCGTTGACAGGGCAACTGCAGTCTCATGGGAAGTGGGGCGGTACCAGCTCGTCCTTCACGCCCTACCGAGGTCACGAGTTGCCCCCCACGAGCAGCTCTCCTACACAGCCATAACACCAGACACACAGAAACCAATCTCGTAATTATCTGGCTCTTTGCAGAAATACAAAATCGTGAGGCCGCTATTGCATCCACGTGAGATTATATGATTCTCATAACCAGCTATAGAAAACAGTATTTCACAATGCCTTTTCAGCAATTCTGATTGTTGGGGGGGGGAATTCTAAACAATAATGGTGCCTCTTCTGTCAAAATAATGAATGTAATCAATGTAGAGAAGGGTTAAATGGAAATCATCTGCCTCACAGGCATTGGGAGGGGTGGGAAGGGGGTTATATTGGAGTTCTTGGTGGTGAAAAATGAGTACTGGTGAAGGGATAGGTGTTTGATCATTGTATGACCGAGACTTAAACCTGAAAGCTTAGGAACTTTTCCCACAGTGATTCAATAAATAAATATAAGAAGAAAAATTAAAATTATGAAAAAATACAGCATCTGGCATCTTCCCTAATTATAACGATCTGGTATTTTCTTGATATCTTCACAATGAGAGAAAAAAAATTACCTAATTCAAAAAAGACTTCCTCCAAAAAATTCAAAAGCCATTATCTTAGTAACCAAGTAAATGTGGATTTTTCAGTATTTTTTCTGTTATATGCTTCTAGGCTTATTTGACTTCAGGCATTAAGTGGTGTAAAGCATCATATATCTTATATTTTATTTGGCTTGTTCTAATCTTAACATCATTTTAGCCTTTTTTTTTAACATACATTAAGTTAGAGTTACACAGATCAGATTTGAAAGTTTTCTATAAATAATCAAGTTAGTATACTTAGAAGAATGGCATTATGCTTCCTAATCTTTAAATGGGTTTGCTATGGCTTCTATATAAATTCATATTGAAAAGGTTAACATGTACCTTACATAAGAGATGAGTGTTCCCAGAGCCAGAGAGTTAGTTCAACAGGTAGGTCATTTGCCTTGCACACAGCCAACATAATTTC